GCCTACTTACATGTGTTTCTTATGTAAGTAGGCTGTTTTACCTTTGCGCTGTCTGTTTGTATATTTGGTTTTTGCTCACATAAATTTGTATTCGTCTTTTTGCAGAATATTCTGTATGTTATTGTTTTCTTCTTAGGCCGTCATATCATACTCTTCTATCACAGCGGACGACATTTCTGAAATCGCACCTGTATATCTTTGGCCCCGATTTATGCAGGATAAATAGATTAAGAAAAAATATTGAAGTTTGAAAATTCAGTTTAATTTCGTTAAGACCATAGATGTCGTTGACCTCTGAAACATGATCAATACCTTTCCAATGATACCTTAACCCTCTAATGCATTATTTTTTCGACATGATTATTTTGGCTTATAATTCTTTAAAAAAGTAATGAAAATGCAAAAATAATATGCCTAAAGGCAGGGATATGCATTACAGAGTTAAACGTCGAAATCGAATAATCCGTTCGAATAATTCAGCATCTTAAAAATGTCATATGGTTTTCCTATAAAATTCATTTGATTTTTTGTGTGTGCGCGAAATTTTGCTTAATGTTTTTGAAATTTTCTGTGATTCTTTTTGTATGGCACTTTATTTCGATTTGGCCGCTATGTTGGTCGCAGCCTCAGAACTCATTTTTTGACTCAGGAAACCAAAATTTGAAACGCATTATTTCTAATATCAATTATTTTAGTGGTTCCAAAAAGAGGTACTTTTTGGAACCTTCACAATAAAATCAAGAGGCTTCAAACTTTTTTTTATGAAAAAATTAACCTAAGCAAAGTTTCACGCCGGCTCGATATTCGAGCTGAGAGAAGCAATACACTTGCCAAACAGTTGATATCAGAATAAAAAACCTCTCTTTGCGAGATTAAGAAGGAGCATGACTCTGTGTGAACAGATTGGACATACAAAAGGACTGATATCAATTTTAATGAGACTTCAAAAAGATCAAACAAAAGTTTCAAAACTAAATCCACAAAATGAAACGAAATAGTTCATCACAGTTGCGATTAGATTAGACCAGGGGGAAAATTTATAATTTAAAAAAGTGCAGAATTGAATGTTGAATTTTGTACGAATGGGAAAAATGAAGTCGAAACTGTGACGCACTATTTCATTATTTTTGAAATGTTGTAAACAATAAAACTTTTGGTTCTATTTAGAATTTTTTTTATTATTAACCTCGCAAAGTATATTAGTAAATGGAAGGAAGTTCTGCAACATTTTGAACATAGGGTTATCTACCAAACTAAAAAACAAGAAAAATATTAGTAAAAACTAGTACATAGCGAAGCCAACTTAATACTAATATGCGTACAATTTGTACGTCTAACTACCAAAAGAACCAACTTCATGAACTAGAAAAACTTGCAAAACAAGATCGGATGTCCCCATTGTTTTGAATGCACAAATGTATAATTTTTTATTCACAGTACACAGGAAAATCGTATACCAATTATTTTCTTTCAATTTTTTTAATATTGATATTTTCATTTTATTTTATATATTGAAATTGGATAGTGGATGGGAAAGATCCAGGCGAAAATTAAACTTTACCAATCGAATTACAATATTCGGCGTTCAATATTCTGAACATTCCAATTACAGTGAACTTGAAAGATTTGTACGATTCCTTCAACCAAAAAGAGTATTCAGTACGTTGATCTTATTTGTTATTATGTTGTTTGCTAAAGTGATTTAAAATTTGTTGTTGTTGTCATTGTCTTACTTTAAACTATAAAATTCAAAAATATGCTCCGATATAAATTCTTGTTTTTTCACCCCCAAGAATTCCCAAAAAAAATAATCCGATATTCTAACTCCCTGTCCATCCCTTTACATGAGCTACCTTGATTATAAACTATATATAATATAAAATATAAATTATAATATTTATATATAAATTATTTTTTTTCTTTGTAATTTCCTACTTATCTTCTATATTTTTAGATTATTTTGCAAAACTTCATCTTAAATAATTGGCTTTTTCTTGTTACATCAGGTACGGTGCCAATTTGCAGCAAAAACTTATCAAAAACTGTGAAAATTCCTGATGCATGGCTCAATCCAAAATTCGAACCAACAACTAAAAGTTACCAAAAAAATATCATGGATTTTTTGGTTAAAAAAACATTCTAATATATAATATTCATAATGAAAAAGAAAATTAAAATTAATTTGAAAATAACGTACGTTCTTTTATAACCTGAACGAGTCATTAGCTACGTTGACATATATATGTTATGTCAACTAGACAATTCATACAAACGTTTATATGGAACATTAATTTAAAAAAAAAATTGTAGACAATAAATACATATATATATTTAAAATTATATATGTGACTTCATGTTTGTTTTCTTGAAAAAGCAATATTACAAAAAATCCGCATGTGTTGGCGACAAGTGTTCATAAAATGTGTTTCCAAATACAATAGTGCTAACATATTATGGGTTTTTTTGAAGATTCTATCATTATTTTAGTCTCCCAGGTCAGGTTATTTCATCAATATTATTGAATTTTTAAAAAAACATATTCTCGTTTTTCTACAGATTTGTTTTTTCGCCGGTGGCTGGACATTTTTTGTTAGGCAGTTATTTAGAGACTATGAAGTCCGTCATGTGTCTGTTCAGTTAATATTTTCGTCAACATTTGCTTTGTCACTTACAATGTTCGAACTAATAATATTTGAAATTATTGGTTTATTAGAATCAAGCTCTAGATATTTCCATTGGCGTTTGGAATTAACGCTTTTACTGTTTATGGTTATTGCTTTGATTCCATTTTACATAGCTTACTCCAGTATAAATAACATATCTTTCGGTACGATCATACTTCTTACTTTAAAAAACACACATCATATGTAATTTTGATATTAATATTCTTATTTCATTTTATTTATTGATATTAGTGCCACCAAAATGGGTAGTTCCATTAACTTTGAGCGTTTGGATTTTGTTTTTGTATGGATTTTGGCGAATCGGTGACCCGTTCCCATTATTATCACTGAGTGTATCCCATGGGGTTTTCAGAATTGAACAAGTAAATTTACTATCGAAGATTTAATATTTAAAAGAAACATCATATGACAACAGTTTATACTATCTATCATTATTCGAATGTTATTTAGATTTAATTAAGAAGTTTTATTTGAATATCTATTCAATTTAGGCTGTTTCTCGAATTGGAGTAATCGGTGTTACAGTAATGGCCATTTTATCTGGATTTGGTGCTGTCAATTATCCATATACGAGTATGACATATTTCATACGACCTGTTTCACAAACGGATGTGTTAACACTCGAAAGACGGTTGTTGTTAACGATGGATATGATTTTAGCAAAGAAAAAACGTATTGCAATAGATCGTAAGCAAAATAAAACACATTCAACACGACAAGGGATTTGGGGCATGCTGACTTCAAAGTTAACGTCAGGAACAGAAAGTAATCCGTTTTTCTTTGATTTATAGCATCAATTATATAACTTCTATAAATCTTTCATACTGTATATCGGTTAGATAATACGGAAGTCCACGCTAAATATAGCCAGACTTCATGATAAGAACTATTAACATTGTTCATTAAATTAAACTAAATTAATTTTTCATTGATTTATTTGATTGATTGTTGATCTTAATGAGCGATGGCCATTGTGTGAACGATGCTAATATCAGTTTTCCCCATCGTCGTCGCTACCTCTACCACTACCGCTATCATTACTATCATTACTGTTGTCAGTCAATTCATTAATGCTCCATTAGATTGCATCCTCTACGCTGCTTGACGACCACCATGACTGATCTGAATCATAATCGACTTCGTCAGAATTTGTTGTTTGACACTGAAATGTAAACAAAATAATCAAATTCACATTACACATCAGATGAATTCGAAAATTGTATTCAACAAAAAATGCAGCTCACCTTTTTTTGCTTTTTACGCTTATTTTCATCAAATTCTTTGTAGCGTCGCTCTGCATGTTGGTTTGGTCTCTGCAATTTTATTCCCAATAATTCATGATGACCTAAATATATATATGATGAAAATTGGATTGTATTGAATTTAAAGTCATATTGTATATCATATTTATTTTTAATAATAATAATAATAATAATGACTGCACCATATAGCGTTCTTTCACCTGGTGCTTTATTTATATAAATAAATATAATATATACAATTTTAATTCACTTAGAAAATGAATATTTAAATAAGCTGATTTACAAAAAATATTATAAATTTTTGGTAGTCTCTGATATTTCTATTCTTTGTTTTGAATAATTTTCTATTCACTTTTTGACTGTATTAAGACAAACTCCTTAATCGAATATTTTTAGATATTGGACAGCTTCGCTTGGAAATTGGGGGCTTAGAAGAACTATCTCGACAGCTATTTTTGGAAGTACATGCATTGAGAAATATGCAAGAACGACAAAGATGGGCACGCACATTACAGGGCAAATATTTCAACGTGCTTGGACACTTCTTCAGTTTATATTGTATGTGGAAAATCTTCATTTGTACGATAAATATTATATTCGATCGAGTAGGAAAAAAAGACCCCGTAACACGTGGAATAGAAATTGCTGTTCATTGGTGTGGACTAGAAATGGATATTGCATTTTGGAGTCAACATGTATCATTTTTTCTCGTAGGTTGTATTGTTGTTACATCAATACGTGGTCTTCTTCTTACTCTAACTAAGGTAAATTCAAGCCATGATTAGTATTTAATACAGACAAAATTCACCAATTTTATTTGTTCCAATAGTTTTTCTACAAGATTTCATCAAGCAAATCTTCAAATATCATTGTATTAGTATTAGCTCAAATAATGGGTATGTATCGAATTAATTCAATTATTCCATTATTGAATATTTGCCGTGTATTTTTTCTTTTTATTTAAGAAAATCATAAAATGATTAGAAGGTCCGAAGGTAACACACATAAATAATTTATTATAATTATTTATGTGTGTAAAAATTGAAGTTGCGGCAGTAACTGCACAAAAGATGAGATTAACTTCATTTTTCTCTTTTATGATTCTCTCCTAGGTATGTACTGTGCAGCATCTGTTCTTCTGATGAGGATGAATATGCCTCCAGAATATCGAGTCATTATAACTGAGGTACTTGGAGGTCTGCATTTTAATTTCTATCATCGCTGGTTTGATGTAATTTTCCTGGTCAGCGCATTGTCGACAATTGGAATATTATATTCATTACATAAACCACATAACAGTGAAAATGAATTTATCCTGAGTAAATGAGATATTAAATGGATTTAAATTAAAATAAACTTAAGGTGTTGAAAAAAATTAGTTTTTACATTTATTTTAACTACCCTTTTTAATGAGATATTAGAAGTTATATTTTTCAACGGACATTTTCTTAACAGTGTATTTCGAATTACCGAAATGAACAAAAAGTTCTTACATGTTTCAACTAACCGAGATGTCGCTTCATGTATACGAACGCGGTTCAATCGATTGCTTCGGCCATTACGAAATCAGAATGAAGGAAATCTGCAAACGAAAAACGAAAAACGTAATTCGACTACTTATTTGTTCATCATATTTCTGTTCGCGTGCGTTGTGTCAGAATCGTATAAGACGATTCAGTTTGATTTTTCGTAACGTGAAAAATCTAAAGTGGCCATCAATTAATCGTCGAAGATTGATTATTTTGTAAGTAAAATAATAAGACAATGGAATGTATTTTTCTTAAGGCCTGGTTTTTGTTATTATTCCAAATATATTATTCGCAAATTCGATATACTTACTACTTATATCAATCTGAATTACTAGTGAAAAGGAATGTTTCTATTTTTTTTAAGTTTTAGTATAGATTCAATCATCAACAACAAATAAATCATACAAAAAGATTGAAAACTGTGTTTGGACAACTTATATGAATGAGATTCAGATAAAAGTGAGAAAAAAACAATAAGTTAACATATTAATAGGAAATTATGAAAACAAATTCGCATTTAAGTTCAAGTGATTAAATGAGTGAGAATTCGGGAAATGTTTTAATAAACTGAAACTGGTGAATATAGTGCTATTTTGTGGAAGCACACATTTTGTAATCGTATGAGTGGGCAAATAACACAATGTATTTGAGTTATATACAGAACATGAAACCTTCATGAAAAATAAAGTTTAGCTTCAAAGAAGTTTCAAAGAAATTATTTGTATGTGTGACTATAGTGAGTCACATATTTGCACAATTTGATTTGTTTGTCATTTTTTACGAAATCGAGCAATGCATTTCAGTATTCCAATTTTTCACGTATAGAGGAAAGTCTAGTAGAGAAAAAATAATCAATAAACTTACATGTTTGTCGAAATTTGTGACACAGTGTTGTCAAAAAAAAGAGTTTGTGATGCATATTGACATGAATTTCAGAAAACTCACAAAATTTGGTTCAAATTTTGACTTTATTGTAATAATTTTTTATCATAATTTCTGTACATATGCTTGAGAAAAAACATGAACACAATTTGAAGTTTTGCAAAACACATGAATTCATATGTAGATCGCATTATTGTCTTGGCTTCTTTTCTTCGTGATAAATGTTGTTTTATTTTTAATTTTCCATTAAAAATATTTTAAATAAATTACAAACATAAAAATAATTAAAATTGAACTCCTTAAAAAGTTACAATTCAATTGTTTTTTACTTGGAAAAATGTTTTGTTTTTGATCTAAAATAACGGAATATCATATTCCAGTTTGGCCTTTCATTTGCGAAATGATAAATGATTCACAAAATTTATTGAAATTATTTTAATTTATGTTACTTTAGTGCATTTAAGTTGTCCTCCATGGAAATAGTCAGTTTGGACTAATAGCTTGATGTTTTTTGCACATGCGTAATAAACAGATTTGATGTGTAATAAAGTTATTATACTAGTTTTTATTTTGTAAAAATGGAATTTTTTATATTCGAAACACATAAACATACATTCGTGAAATACCTATAAAAAAACTATAAACAACTCCTAACGAGCTAAATAATTATTGTACTAAATTCATATGAATTCTTTTCTGCATGAAATGTGTTAATAAAGTGCTCATAAATTACGATGAAATTCACTGAATTTTTTATGGTAATTTGGTTAATCGTTGTAAAAAAAGGAATTTCCCAAAAAAAAATCTGCTGAAAACCGTTACCGAAATGAAGAACCCAAGAACGAAAAACACGTATACAAAAAAATTACTGTAAGAGTAGTCAAGGACATTTAATAAATGCAAATGCATAGAAATTAGACTATCGTTACATTTATAACAATTGAAACGAATGAATTTATCTTGTTCATATTAAAAAAGTAATAATAATTACGAATTTTATTAATATTATTTAATCAGAAAATTACGATCAGAATTTGATTCATGCGATAATAAGTCTCAGTTCGACCTTTTTTCACAATTATTTTTTTTCAAGTGGCTTAGATTCACGAGATTATATTTTATAAAGTACTTAGATTTATCATGCAGATTTTAATTTTATAACATTCATAAATAAGTTATTCAACTAAAAATGACTCTATTACTTTAATTTCAGATCGCCCAAATTAATTATTGATACGAAAAAGAGAATATATAAAGGATTGCTATCAACAATTTCATCATAAACGTTTCAAGAGAGTTTCATTAATTATTCCTGAAGTTTATGCATAAAAAATGAAAATGGTAAGGTCTCCTATGTTTTTTTCAAATTTAAATATTTTTATATTATGTTGTGATTTTGAGATTTTGTAGTCACAGCTCTCTTCTGTGGAGATCATTGGACGTACAACAACAGTAAACGGTTTTTTTTTTCACATTTCATACAAACCAACATTTCCGAGACCATTCGAATGTTTAACTCTAAATCTCAAATTTAAGCAATGTTTCTTGCTCTAGCGATTTTGAATTTATTTGTCTAGTAATAGATCCATGACTGATAAGTTTCCGGAATGGAATACAAAATGGCACCATATACAAAAATTAATCTTTTGATTGTCAAATATATTTCTTCAAACCTGCTGTCTAGAAATTTCATGACTTTGCAGTATTTGAAAAGATCACCCTCAGAAATTATATAAGTGGAATAAAAATATTTACTGCACCGTAAAACGTCCCTTCGCCTGATGGTTTAATTAAATAAATAAATATAGTAAATATACAGACTGTATAATACAGTTTAAAATTGTGTCATCGTTAAAATATTTGTTTTATTTGATAATTTATGGATTTAATGCTGCTGCTTGTCAGTTGACATTGTTTGTATTTGGTGATCTTCTCAACAAATCAGGCACTAGTACGCCAAACATCCTACAAAGTCCTGTGTAATTAGAAGCAAAAACATTAAACAATGAAAAGGCTCCATTTTCAATTGATGCATAATGCATTTTGCAGCAACAATGAACTGAACAATTAATGGCGAATTTTTGTGGGTAACTTTAACCTTTGACATTAAACGCCCATTCCGAAGTATTTTGCCCACATTCCGATAATTTCCATTGCGAATTCGACGCTTAATTTCCTTTCGTCCCTTTTGCAGAGCACGTTTACTAACCGTTGCCACAATTATATCTGGTAGACTAGCGAATGAGTCCGGTAGTCCAGCAATCAGTTTCGCTTTGCAGTCGTAGCACACTTTAAATCGATGCGATTTTGTGTTCACTGGAAATCGTTCTTGGCTATTCGCGCATGATATTCCCCATTCATCTTCCATTTTCACCACTGAATGGTCAAGTTTCTTGACACTAAACAAAAATGCCCGCTATCCTGGACATCTTTTTCGTCTCTTCAAACCAAATGGCCGATTAAGTGGCATCTCCGATGGTCACTGTTTCGGCGATGTTTACATTTACTTGGTTCGACTTAATGTAATGATCAAAATCCAGTCGTGAATATTTACGAATTGCATATGCTGACATTCCTTTTCGTAGCATTTTGATACGATACTCAATGTACCATTGCCATGTTGAATTACGTGGTGATGGTGGACCGAATGGATATGACTTTAGGATGTTGCGACGCGTAATTGCCAACCACGTTTTTTCAGTTGGATCGATGCCAGTAACGTATTTCTGCCCACAAGATTGTCCGCCTGTGAATGCACATATTCGCTCGACACGGAAACACTATCGATCAAGATTTGATGATAAAATTATTTGGATCGTTTGCCCAATTGCTTAATTTTATCGACGTCTAACAAATTCCATAGTCCATCTCGATCATGAACTCTGTAGTATTTTTCAGGGGTTTGTTTATCCATCTGGTATCAGTATTCAGGAATCTGGGCACCAATTTTAGCTTGCTTGCCAATTTTTTATACAAATCTCTCATATCCAATCGCACGCACTTCAAATTATAATTGCATAACGGTACAAGATCAAAACTGTTTATTTTCTCAGGGCGATTGTTTGTTGGCTGTTGAAAGTTCGGATTGTCACGAAATATTTCATGAATGGTATTCCATTGTGCGGCATGGCACCTTTTGTCCGTTGCTTTTGTCCGAACCACAACGATTCAAACCAATGATCCTTTACGAAAAATTTCATGCATTTTTTTTCTCGCCATCCAATTGCAATCATATCAATCTATGAAATGTTGGCCTACTCTTTCCACATTACCATTTGTCAAGTCGTAGGATTGATGCGGTAGCACATTGACAATTCTAATGTCGATGCCATCAAATATCGGTCCATTGATTGCGATACCAACATCCCATTCGAAAGAAAGAGAGGCCAATGAGGCAACTTACGTCATTTGAAGACTTCGATCAAAAAATATTTCCGTCACAACTGCTGCATTCTCGCGCCGGTGAATTGTTTGCAAGCCACATTTTATTGGAAAAACACCTCCCATACAAAAATTTCGTGTTTGGGCCAAAAATCGAAAATTTTGTATGCGGGTTATTTTAAATTGAAATTTCTTCAAACTGCCCGAATGTTATTTATTTGTAAAAAATAGCCTGTGCAAATTTTTTCGTCAATATGATACCATAAAGTTTGGTTTTCGTTACAAAAATAATTTTTATGGCAAAATTAACATCAGACATAGTTTTTATCGCATTTTGTTAGAAGACAGTATTCTTTTGATTCAAAATCTGATGGATTTTTCATAACAAAATTGATGTTTGTTTCAAAAATCCAATTTCGTTTTTTTTTTCATTTTTCGAAAAAACTAAAGGTTGATCTCTTTCAAGCGCAAACTATTCGAAGACTTATAATGAAATTTTGAAAGAAAGTATTCGGAGGAAATTTTTTGATATTCATAAGCATACATGGACACAGCCGGGGTTTATACCCGGATAACTCCCCTCCTTAAATCGTCCGGGAATATATAATTATGTTTTTTGAATTTCCATCCTATATAAAATAATTTTTTAAACTCCTATATAATTGTATTTATTTCCTGGTCACTTTTTTAGGTATTGTCACAACGGCAACGCGAGGAACTGTAAGTAAGAAAGGAATAATAAGAGAAAAAATCGTAGTGTCCTGAAATAATATGTATATGGTAAATTATGGATTTGGTGCCATCTGATATTTAAGATATTTATGTGACAATAAACAAACGCGCATATGCACGCATGATGAATGAAAAATGTTTCATTTAGTGTTTTATAAGAAAAAAGCTATATTGTTGTTTTCGAGAACATATAATTTACCTCAATAATGTTCACCAAACTTTATATTATTTCAGGACACTGCTTTTGTGTGTGTTTTGTTGGGTGCATTTAACTGATACCTCATTTTTTACCATTTTTCGATAATAATAATAATACTTAGGTGAATAAGCAAATAAATAAATATACTACTGTGTTGAAGGCTGTAAATACTATTTACTAAATAGTGTTATTAGTACCATTATTATTCGAAATATTTCCAATTTAACGCAATTAGTTCAAACAGATTTATTTTAATTTGGTCATTTTTGATTGGAGATTTGGTTTGTTCCGCGTTGCTTCATTGTAAAGGGTGTTTTTTAGGAGGTTTATTCTTTCGATAGGGATAACTTTGACAATTCAAATTTGATTTCACAATTTGAATTGTTATTTCTAATCAGTATTGTTTGGCAAATTATCATGGAAAAGTTAACGCCGGAACAACGTTTACAAATTGTGGAAATTTATTTCCAAAATCAGTGCTTTTTGAAGAAAGTTTTTCGTGCACTTCGTGAATTTTATGGTGTGCATAATCGTCCAACTGAGATGACCATACACAACACAATCAAAAAATTTCGGTCCACATTTACTCTTCTTGATACCAAGCCACCAACCACACTGCATAGAGTGCGTATCGAAGAAAGTATTGCGTCGGTTAGTGATAGTGTTAAAGAAGACTGAAGATTGTCGATTCGGCGCCGTGCACAACAAATGGGTTTTTGTTCGTCCACTATGTGGAAAATTTTGCGTAAAGATCTTGGTCTAAAGGCTTATAAGGTCCAGCTGGCGCAAGAACTGAAGCCACAAGACCATCCAACGCCGTACGTTCGCTGATTGGGCCCAACAAAAACTCCAAAATTATCCGGAATTTTATCGAAAAATCGTCTTTTCTGACGAGGCACATTTTTGGTTAAATGATTTTGTAAATAAACAAAACTGCCGCATTTGACGAACAGCCAGGAGAGATCTTGGAGACTCCATTGCACCCGGAAAATTTGACTGTTTGGTGCGGATATGGTCAACATCATGGGAATTATCGAATATGGTCAACATCGCATTGTTTTTTTTCTATCGCTCATCGTTTATTTAGACTATTTTCATTTTTAAAAATATTTTTAGTTCCTTAAAAAATAAAATTGTTTGTACAATAGCAAAACAAACTTATTTGCTATAGTTGAAAAGTGAAGTTCAGTCATATTTAGTCGATTTGATAGAAAAATAAAAAAAAAGAAACATTGCATTGAGAATCACAGTGACAGCAACACAATGGAAAAACAACAACAACAAGAAAAAACATACCATTGCTGCACCGAAAACAAGTGTACCGGTGCCAAATATAATGCTTTGCATTTCAAATGCATTTTCTGTGCAAGCAACATTTACATCGAGTGTTTAATCAAAACAAATAAACAAATGGAAAGACTATTGATGCAATTTGGATTAATTAAACGTATAGTGCGTGACATAAATATCGTCCTGTTTCTATCTCTTTTTTATACTGTACAAAAATGCACACGGAATATATAGAAAGTAGCCAAAAAAAACTGCGCAATAATTTGTTATCATTATATAGAGAGTATCGATCCATATTCGCAAGTTGTTTGTTTACAATACACTTCCTATTTGGGAGTTTATTCAATTACATTCAAAAACTGTTTTTGTATTAGTTCTTAACACAAATGTATTTATTTTCAAATACGTTTGGAAAACAAGAATGTGTAAAAGAGATGTTTTTTTACTCATTTAGATCATCGTCGACGACGTCGTGTTGAATGGTAAATATTCCCATCGTGCTCAATCACGTATCTTAAATTTTCCCATCTGTTGAATACATGAGCATTCAATGCATGTTGCGTCCTTTCAATCAATTGAGGTCGATCTCGTTCCATAATGGACCAAACATTTTCAATAAGGTTCAGGTCTGGACTGAAGGGAGGATGATTCAACACATTAATATGTTTAGATTCCAAATATTGAGTCACTCTTCTGGCAGTATGAACTCTTGAATTATCTTGCATAAAAGTAATATTTTGAATGGAACCAAATTGTGCCTCGATTGAAGGCAATGGCACTTCGTCGAGAATTTCAAGGTAAAGGTCTTGATTGAAATGACCACCAGTTTCGACTATTTCTCCTGGACCTGCGTTACTGATCCATCCCCAAAATCCGGCTGAAATATAACCACTCAAGCGATCTTTATAAATATATTCCTGATTGTATCTTTGACTTTTTGGTCTCCAGACACGAACATGATGTTTTTTGTCACTCATAAATGTCTTTTCGTCTGTAAAAATTATCCTGTGGAAATTCGGTTCTCTAAAAACATTGAGCATCCAGTGGCAGTAATCAATTCTTTGTCGCTTATGATCCTCAGAAATGTTTGTTTCATGGGCCGACGCACGATTTAAAAGACCGTTTTCATTAATTCTTCGCAAAGCCGTACGATATGAAATATTTTCTAGTGCTGCCGCTCGGACTGCTGTCGAAAAAGGATTTGCTTTCAAATAATCGACTAACGCGGTATTCTGTTCAATTGTTGTTATTCTTGGTCTACCGGGGCTAAATTTACGCTGTACATTTCCATCTCGTTCAAATCTCGTGATCCATCTTTGAACGGTCTTCAC